TCCTCAGACTATGGTACCCCTCCTCACATCCCGTCACCCCTCCTCACATCCCGTTGCCCCTCCTCACATCCCGTTGCCCCTCCTCACATCCCGTTGCCCCTCCTCACATCCCGTCGCCCCTCCTCACATCCCGTCGCCCCTCCTCACATCCCGTCGCCCCTCCATTGTAGTGTGGTGGTAGCCTCACTGCAAGGGTCAGTTTGTGATTTTCCTGAAGTTCTTTAGAGGTTTACACTGGGTGACAAGTTCTCTTTAAAGACACAGCATGAGTATTTATTTAGTTCTAGTTCTCACATTCCATCCGGCACACAATCGGCGGGAGAAAGCGGGCCTAGCCCAATAAAACGCCGCTCTTTTTCTTTTTTTATTAGCGCTCAGCATGTAAAGCCGCCAAGACAGCACAAAGATGGAAACTCTTAGAAATCAGCACTTGTGTTCTCAGGAAAACTAAACAACCCTGTGGGTAATCTGCTCTCGCCATAAAACTGCTTATATACCTCTTTCTTCTACATTTAAACCCGCTCCGCTCAGCGCCAAGTACTGGAAATATTCTTGCGAGATCATACTTACCACGGTCTTAAATCTGCACTTTATAGACCTGCCGCTTTACCAGCTCTGCCGTTTTTTTATGGTGTGACAGCTGCGCCATTAAACCTTCTTTTTTACTCCCCCTTGTAAGTGTAAACGTGGAACTTTGACACCAACAGGTTGTATGTTTATCAGATAATAAAAACATTTTGCTTATAGTTTTTGTTTGAATGTTTCTAATCTGGTGTTTTATCTCTGTGTGATGGTGATTCTGGTTCTACCGGATTTTTGGACTGACGCTAGGAAGGTAGACAGTTTCCGCCCATATGGGGAAGCTTTTGCGCCAAGCTTGTTTTTTTTGGCTGTGATGTTGCATTCATGTCTGTGTTTTTACACATATGCAAGGTATAGGCTGGGCTCCTTTCTAGATATGTCATGTTTCAATCCTGATACATTGTACATAAACCAAAAGGAGCGCTGACGAGATATTGTTAGAGTCCAAGGAGTATTTATTTTGATCTTCTGACAATAACAGGTGTCCACTCTGGTGCAGACACAGGCACTCATACTTTGATCACATCTTCAGATGTATATCGGATCGCCCAGAAGCTGTATTCTGAGTCCAATGTGATATTATCAGTAGATAATCCCTGATGAAGGGGGATTTTGGCCCCCGTAACGTGTTGGTTGCAGCTATTGTCCTGCTCTTCTCGGAGGAAATAAATACCTTTTGGACTCTAAGAACTTCCTTTTGGCTTTTATACGGATAGACTTCTCGATTGGATGACCCCGGAGATCTCTGCTTTGTGGAGAGCCGCCAAACAAAAGCCACGTGGCTTCATTAAGGACTTAATTCTCCTTATTATTTTGGGGATCCCTATCCAGCGCCCCACTTGCACTTCCCCCTAATGATACATCATATGTGTCTGTGGAAAACATTGTTGTCTTTGTAGAGGTCATGGCTCTCTGGCTGGATCAGAGAGGAGATCAGCACATTACTTTCGCCAGTCCTGTGACCGGGTGTATTATTAGGGCTGCACAGATACTACTGGGCATTTTTGCGAGTACTTGTACGCATGAAAATGCTCCGATACTAAGCGCGATACCGGCGCTTTAAATTTGTAACCACTAGTGGCTGTTTGAGGTCCCGTGCTTGCTGGGGATCTCAGGCAGCTGTTTTTGACAGCGCCTGCCCGGCCACAAATCTTATACCTCCTCAGACTATGGTACCCCTCCTCACATCCCGTCACCCCTCCTCACATCCCGTTGCCCCTCCTCACATCCCGTTGCCCCTCCTCACATCCCGTTGCCCCTCCTCACATCCCGTCGCCCCTCCTCACATCCCGTCGCCCCTCCTCAGCCTTCGTCGCCCCTCCTCAGCCTTCGTCGCCCCTCCTCAGCATTCGTCGCCCCTCCTCAGCCTTCGTCGCCCCTCCTCAGCCTTCGTCGCCCCTCCTCAGCATTCGTCGCCCCTCCTCAGCCTTCGTCGCCCCTCCTCAGACTTCGTCGCCCCTCCTCCTCAGACTCCAGCACAAAGCCCCTAAGATTATGGCACAAAGCTTCAGGTCCTGCCAGGGGAGAAGGAGGGAAGCTGCACCATGACAGCGGCACCATGCAGCCCCCTTGAGGAAGGTAAAATATGGGGGAGTCGGACCGATGTCACTGCATGATTGAAGGACTCTGCAGGTGTCACAAATTTAAAACATGACAGAAACACTTTGTTAAACAAGGCAGCGCCTGATATTCACTAGACAGGAGCCTTATTGTATAACCAGCTTGCTAAATCCCCTTATAATTGGCTGATTTGTGAATAATGGAGAAAATATGTGTTGTTTTAGAAAAACTGTCTCATGACACTAAAAAAAATTGGTATCAGCGAGTACTTGAGGAAAATGTTTGGTACTTATACGCGGTCTGGAAAAAATGGTGTCGGTGCATCCCTTTAATTAATGCGTGTGCTTATATTATTATTATTTTCAATGTAGAATATGCCTTTACCATACTATATCTATTGCAACCATATATTTAGCGGTTTGATTGACATTCCATTTTAATCACCCGGGTACATAGGTAGCTATTCTTGGCCTAATATTTGTGTGTATTGCCCAAAACAAGCAATTGGATTACAGCTGCTCGTTTTCTCATTCTCAACACAAAATGTGTAAGTCACGGGCTGCTTCATTTAGTAAAATCAGTTGTTGAACTCTGCAGAGTATATTATAGTTTTTGCACTGACCCACTCCACTCATAAAACCCCCATTTACCACCTTATTTATGTTTGATAAACATTTAGACGTTCTTGTAATTTCATTTACTCGGCTTGCTTCAGTTTACGTAATGACACCATACACAGCATTAATCTTTCCACTGAGGTAAGGTGGCACTCCGTAAAGTTACGGCCTCAATATTTTTGTAGCAGCGATCTCATTTCCTCACCGCTCCACGTTAACGAGCACTCCAGAGGCCGCATGTGTTTGCATGTGAGATTTCAGAAGGACGCGGGGACTGGAAAATATCAGACTGTTTTCTTAACACCAGGCTAATGATCTTGTGAAATGCCCACTTGATGGTTTTTTCTACCAAGTATGGTTCGGTCCATGATAACAGATGGAGTGGGACATTTGCCTTGCTGGGAATAAAGAGGAACCCCAGTGTTTTTACACATTTTTCTCCCATGAAAGCGCTTCAGAGGAAAAGGCCTCCTTTTTATGTTTATGCAGCAGAGAATATTTAAACTATTTTGCAATTTATGTGGCCTTAGATTGTAAGCTCCTTTGGGGCAGGGACTGATGTGAATGTGCACTGTAAAGCGCTGTGTAAATTGTCAGCACCATATAAATACCTGTAATAAATACATAAACTGAACTTCTTCTCTTATGAAGGCCTGAAAGTACTCTATTTTATTGAATACTTTGGAGGTCATTTATAAAAGTTCCACCTCGCTGATGCGGTTTGCACAGCACTAGCGCCCTGAGATGGTGCTGTGAGTATAGGAATAGTGCCCCTAGATGGCCCTGATGAGTATAGGAATAGCCCCCCTAGATGGCCCTAATGAGTATAGGAATAGGCCCCCTAGATGGTCCTGATGAGTATTGGAATAGCCCCTCTAGATGGCCCTGATGAGTATAGGAATAGCTCCCCTAGATGGCTCTGATGAGTATAGGAATAGCCCCCCTAGATGGCCCTAATGAGTATAGGAATAGGCCCCCTAGATGGTCCTGATGAGTATTGGAATAGCCCCTCTAGATGGCCCTGATGAGTATAGGAATAGCTCCCCTAGATGGCTCTGATGAGTATAGGAATAGCCCCCCTAGATGGCCCTAATGAGTATAGGAATAGGCCCCCTAGATGGTCCTGATGAGTATTGGAATAGCCCCTCTAGATGGCCCTGATGAGTATAGGAATAGCTCCCCTAGATGGCTCTGATGAGTATAGGAATAGCCCCCCTAGATGGCCCTAATGAGTATAGGAATAGGCCCCCTAGATGGTCCTGATGAGTATTGGAATAGCCCCTCTAGATGGCCCTGATGAGTATAGGAATAGTGCTCCTAGATGGCCCTGATGAGTATGGGAATAGAGCTCCTAGATGGCCCTGATGAGTATAGGAATAGTGCTCCTAGATGGCCCTGATGAGTATAGGAATAGCCCCCCTAGATGGCCCTAATGAGTATAGGAATAGGCCCCCTAGATGGTCCTGATGAGTATTGGAATAGCCCCTCTAGATGGCCCTGATGAGTATAGGAATAGCTCCCCTAGATGGCTCTGATGAGTATAGGAATAGCCCCCCCTAGATGGCTCTGATGAATATAGGAATAGCCCCCCCTAGATGCCCCTGATGAGTATGGGAATTGAGCTCCTAGATGGCCCTGATGAGTATAGGAATAGTGCCCCTAGATGGCCCCATAGTGTACAGGAATATTGCCCCTAGATGGCCCTGATGAATATTGCCCCTAGATGGCCCCGAAGTGTACAGGAATATTGCCCCTAGATGGCCCTGATGAGTATGGGAATAGAGCCCCTAGGAAATCCCTATACTTATCAGCACCATCTAGGGGCGCTAATACCGTGTAAACAGCACCTGCCCGGCTGTTAGCTGAGAGGAACCTTTGTGAACTGAAGGGTGTCCAGAGATGCTGAGGAATGGCCGTTCTTACATGCTCTGTGCACGGAATGATCTTTCATATTAAACCTGCATGTTGTCATGTGGAGGATTGATGGGGGTGTCCCTGTGCACAATCCTATCCAGGGGGATTCATAGTCTTTGGCCAATTATCCCTTTAGAGTGCTTGGTAAGGATATTTTGGGAGATACCGGGCTTGGCCTATAGACATGAGATTGCAGTCATTGCACTATCACCTGGAGGACACTTTACTTATTCCCCAGAGTTGCTGTTTAATGTTTATCCAGGTAAACACATGAAGTATGACCTTGTAATATAGAGAGTGACACCATGTGATCTGTTTCCTCCTCAGGAACGGCAGGGATGTGTCTCGCACAGATCCACAGAACAGTTACTGGGTCACCAACAGCTTGCCGACTGCTCCAGATATGCCGCAACAAGACCGATCGCTGGCTTCTTTTTCATCCTGCGAAACGCAAGGTTAGTATCGGATTTCCGGTGACCACAGAGGACGGGTTCTGGTATACAGGACGGCAATAGAGGAACACCGCTTTGTTTCCTGTGTCCTGGTGATCCCCTCACTGAGGTCACAGAGATTAAACGTGAAGGGAAATCTCCCCACACAGCAAACACCAGACAGACATTCTAACCTGGTAGGCAAACTCGGCACTCAAGCTGTTGTAGAACTACAAGTCCCATGAGGCATTGAAAACTGGCAGCCAGAGGCATGACTCCCAGAGGCATGATTGGAGTTGTAGTTACAGCAGAGCTGGAGTGCTGAGGTTGCCTTACCCCTGTTCTAACTCTTCTCCACTCTGTTCAGATCTTTGGATGGAAGTAAGATTTTGACTGGAGCAGTTGCCCATGGCAACCAATCGGCTTCTCTCTTCAGTTTGTTCAGTTAAGATTTGAAAATGAAAGAGAGAAGCTGATTGGTTGCCATGCACAGCTGCTCCAGATTTTGATAAATTGCCCCCAAAGACTTTCCATCAACAGCATTTCTCTATTGTACTCAGGTCACATGACCTCAAGTCTCCTCCCCTTTACTTCTCTACCACACTGCTGCGTGTCCCTTAGCAAGAACTGTACCACTGGCCAGTCACCTAACATAACAGAAAGCTGTATAATGGGAGCTGCCAATCCTGAGGCAATCAGAGGATTAGAGGTCACCAAAAGTCTGACTTGTCAACAGCCCGCCTTCCCGTTTCTGAGTGTGTGAGGTCAGGCGGTTGAATGGCAGCAACTGTCTGACCTCCTGTGACCTCTGACCCCCAATCACTGCAGCTAAATGTCAAACTCAGACAGCTAATCAAGCCTGCCTGCTCTTGTACTAAATGAGGAGTGAATATTCTGGTTCCTGGATGAACCTAAACCAGGCTGGTTCTCTTTAGGGTTTAAAGTTTTATTCATTTATTACAGGTATTTATAAAATGCTGACAATTAAACAGTGCTTTATATACTGCACATTGATATCTGTCTCTGCCCCGAGGAGCTTACAATCTAAGGCCCCTATCTCACATGCATACCTACAGGGCCGATTTAGACAGGAGACAATTACCTTTCCAGCATGTCTTTGGAGTGTGTACCATAAATGCTGCATGTTCTGTCTGACACACCATGAGGGAAGGCAGAAGGAGCACAGCATAATGTTACAACTTAGTGATTTGATATATGTAGCTGGGGATCCCAGGAAATAGGGTGTAAAGCCGAGCTCTCTTCTAAAGCTGAACTTCAGGTAGATATAAAAGACACAATTTATTGTGGATCTGTACTCATTAAAGGAGAATTATGAGGGAGGTGATTTCCACTCATCCTCATAGTTTGAGTTGACATGTGACATTGAAACTGTCACACGTCGGCTCTATTGATTGGGAAGTGAGTGAACACATACAGAGCACATATAGAGTGAATGTCAGTCACCACTCCCTGCAGGGATTCCGCTCCGATCCGCCAGCGCTGACTGGAGGAACTGACGGGGGAGGGGGCGGGCACAGCTGGCTCTGCCTCTAGATAGGCAGAGACAGCTGTCACTCACGCAGCTGGGTGGATCTCGACAGTAATGTCTGGATCCGTCCCGGCTGCGGCGGTCTCGGTATATTGCAGGCAATAGCCCGCTATATACTGAGCTTTGGGTCATGGAAGGAGTTTAGTATATGCCCTCCTGTGACCCTAAAGAGAACTATTTATTATATGGTAAAAAAAAAATGAAAAAGCGGACACATTCAAAAATGAAATTCTACCAATGCATCCCTCCATGTATGATGAGTAATAATAACATAGACATGTCAGGTGTAAAATGCTGTGATTGTGAAATACTTACACTTACAGAGCATTCACTTCCTGCTTTGAAAGGGCAAAATGGCCACAGTTTGGCACATCAATGCACACTGGAATTGCCTTGTCATCAGCAGAGCATTGCAGGGAAATCTCATCTCAGGGAAAGGCATTTTCCTCCCCTGAGATGATGTGCATTGTCACATGTGTCAGAGCTCCAGGAAGTAAAACGAGAGCTAATAATCTGCCCTTAGTAAACATGGCCACTGTCAGAAGACTGGGGAAAAAGAGAGAAATAAGGAATGCAAAGAATAAAAAGCCGGCAAAGATCTAGAAGTATCTGTGTGTAGATTGTCATTACTAAACATTTCTAAAGGCGTCTTTGTTGTTATTTTAAAGATAAAGGTTCGCTTTAAGAATTGGCTGTAGAACTTTAGGAAAGTTTCTTTAGTATAACACACAGAATCATGGCTTCCTATAGACACATCAGGATTCTTTGTATCCTCATAGTACAGCTTAGAACATGGGACCGGCTCTTAAAGGTGATACATTGTCCTTGCTGTCACATATAGATACTGAAGATCGTATTGGCTGCATTCTGGATCCATGGATCTTTATTAATAGGTCAATGTATATAATGTGAGTGTCCTGATCTAAGCCGGAACCCCTCTGAATGTATTGTTTCTGTATTGTTTACAGTTGGTGACACAATGTGGGGTTTTATGTCAGAGAGCGAAGCCGAGAACAGACTTGGCGGACTCTGCCGTTCCGGAAGACAATGTACAGCGGGAGGTGAAGACGATATCCAATGTACTCAGCGTGCCAGGCAAAGATCCTTCCACAGATACGGCCGCTCCGGAAGAGCCAGCCACCGGTGACAAACTCTGCGATCAGTTCCCCAGCTCCGAGGACAGCAAAGGCTGGAAGGAGATCAAAGTGGACCTGTCTACCCTGCCTGGGATTTTGGCTCGACTGTCAAAAATCAGACTCTCAGGTATATACTGATACGGGGATTATGGACATTTTAATGACCATTGCTCCCTGTGAAAGCTTTCATTTATGATGTGTTAAGATATAATATAGTATCTAGTATTCAAGTGACATTTCACTGCTGCCACTTTTTAAAGTTCCTCACCTTGAAAGATAGCTGAAGCTTGATGCTATGCGGTCATATAAGCAGCTATGGCATCACCTGGCCCACCACCTGTATATCCACCAATCAATGCCAAGCATTTCATAACTAATCCGCTATACTGTAAGTGGTTGTGTCATCTCTGCCTCCTAACAAGGCAGCACGGGGACTGAGTATGGTGAGAGGCGTCCCAGTGGAAAGAAAACATTACCCAGAATGAATACTTCGGATGCATGTCATTGAAATCATTTGTTGGCTTTCTGTATGTCTTGGGGGTTCCTCTGGTCAGTTCCCAGACTAAGTGCCGCAACCATTACAAAGCCGGATGATGGTGTCACTTTTCACTATAATCAATTGATAGAATAGATATAAATTTGGTAATCCAGCTTTAAGTCGCGTCTTTATTAAGGATTTGTGGGAGGGGACGAGACAAAAACTGGGAAAATCTCACCATTGTGGGAGGGGCAGAGTCACAAACTGGGACAATCTCACCATTGTGGGAGGGGCAGAGACACAAACTACTGGAGGAAATCTCTCCATTGTGGGAGGAGCACAGACACAAATTGGGGGGTAATCTCACCATTGTGGGAGGGGCAGAGACACAAACTACTGGAGGAAATCTCTCCATTGTGGGAGGAGCACAGACACAAATTGGGGGGTAATCTCACCATTGTGGGAGGGGCAGAGACACAAACTACTGGAGGAAATCTCTCCATTGTGGGAGGAGCACAGACACAAATTGGGGGGTAATCTCACCATTGTGGGAGGGGCAGAGACACAAACTACTGGAGGAAATCTCTCCATTGTGGGAGGAGCACAGACACAAATTGGGGGGTAATCTCACCATTGTGGGAGGGGCAGAGACACAAACTACTGGAGGAAATCTCTCCATTGTGGGAGGAGCACAGACACAAATTGGGGGGTAATCTCACCATTGTGGGAGGGGCAGAGACACAAACTACTGGAGGAAATCTCTCCATTGTGGGAGGAGCACAGACACAAATTGGGGGGTAATCTCACCATTGTGGGAGGGGCAGAGACACAAACTACTGGAGGAAATCTCTCCATTGTGGGAGGAGCACAGACACAAATTGGGGGGTAATCTCACCATTGTGGGAGGGGCAGAGACACAAACTACTGGAGGAAATCTCTCCATTGTGGGAGGAGCACAGACACAAATTGGGGGGTAATCTCACCATTGTGGGAGGGGCAGAGACACAAACTACTGGAGGAAATCTCTCCATTGTGGGAGGAGCACAGACACAAATTGGGGGGTAATCTCACCATTGTGGGAGGGGCAGAGACACAAACTACTGGAGGAAATCTCTCCATTGTGGGAGGAGCACAGACACAAATTGGGGGGTAATCTCACCATTGTGGGAGGGGCAGAGACACAAACTACTGGAGGAAATCTCTCCATTGTGGGAGGAGCACAGACACAAATTGGGGGGTAATCTCACCATTGTGGGAGGGGCAGAGACACAAACTACTGGAGGAAATCTCTCCATTGTGGGAGGAGCACAGACACAAATTGGGGGGTAATCTCACCATTGTGGGAGGGGCAGAGACACAAACTACTGGAGGAAATCTCACCATTGTAGGAGGGGCAGAGACGCAGACTACTAGGGGGATATCTTACCATTGCCGGTGAGGCAGAGTCACATACTTCAGTGGGTCGATCTCACATTGTGGAGGGGATAGAGAAACTACTTCAGCTCTCTGCTGCCCATACATATAATTTGAGTGTATTTGGCCGTCACTTTAAATTCACATATCAGCTTAATAATACTGAACTGTGGCATTTTTTTCTTTTTTTTTTCTTTAAGCTTCACAACTTTCCCTTCAGCTCAGATCAGGTTTTGTGTCAGCCGCGACTGCCGGAGTGAGATGAAATTAAGTTCCACCCAGGGTGTAAAAATTCAATTTATGCAACAAAAATAAATCCCGGAAGACACAAAAAATACGCCAATAATCAGTTGTTCTTATCAGCGCACCAGACTGAGCTGCGAGAGGCGATCGCCGTCATTTCATTTGTGGGGTTAATTCACAGTTTTAATTAAGGTCTCGGCGTTACTCACTTGTTAATAAGATACCAATCATCCTTAAATAAGTGGACACCTGTAGGTGAGCTAATTATACTAAAGAGTTTAAAGTACCTTCATACCTGTTAATTCTTTTTTCTCTCTTCTTTAAGGTGGCCATACACACTACAACCATCGCAAGACTTTAGTCTTGCGATGGTTGTACAGGGATTAAAAAAACGTACGATCTGCATATCTTGGACAGGCAGATTGCACTCTCGATCATCGCAAGCCCGCCCCCCTGAGGGGCGGGCTTGCGATGACCGCAATGCTGAACGGGCAGTGTGCGCGTGCGCACACCGGCCCGTTCGGCATTTGTCTTCCGAGCACCGTTCTAACCAGCCGAGAATCGTACGATTCCCGGCTGGTTTTCTAGCATGCTGGTTCGACGGAAGACGTGCGACCGTACAGTAGAAACGGTCGCACGTCTCCGTTCACACTGCTCGATTCTCGTACGATCGCGGGATTTCCCCCGATTCTCGTACGAGAATCGAGCAGTGTATGGGCACCTTTAAGTTCTCCATCGTATGTTATCCCGAATGTTCAATTGCTATGTACTGTATATCTCCCTTATAGAATGTAAAATATATCATCCCAAGCTTCTTAATTACTGTTTATGGGTTACCAGTACATACCTGTTGGTGCCACCAGTTTCTTCCTGTTCGGGGGACTTCCTGTGAATGAACAACAACGCTAACCACAGGCTCCTGATGCTGTAGTTGTGTTGTCACCACTCTCTATGTGTACTACAACGTCAGGATTGTAGGATCATGTGACCTCACACAGCATGGATGCAAGGTCCCGTTATCAATCTTTCATAACACAGCCAGCGTTATAGAGTTTGGTTTGATCCTGAAGCCAACACCAACATCACTGGCAGTGACCGGACACTGTGGCTTCCACCCTGCCTCCAGCTCTGGCCATGCACATCAAAAGTGTCATGTGACTGCAAAATAAATCATATATTTAAAGCATGTGGCAAGGCAAAATAGAAAAAACACGCTTAGTACATCTCGGCAATACTCGCACATTTTCCTGGGTTTTCTGCTTTTATACATAGCGGGGATATCTGCTGATGTGTCAGAAGTATAAATAAATATTAATTGTACCTGGATGGTACCTTTAGACCAGGGGTGGGCAACCTCGGCACTCCAGCTGTGCTGAAATTACAGATCCCATCATGGCTTGGACTCTGGGAGTTATGCCTGTGGCTGTCAGTCTTGCAATGCCTCATGGGATTTGTAGTTCCACAGCTGGAGTGTCAAGGTTGCCTACCCCTGATTTAGACCGCTGGAACAGGGGGCAAAGGTAAGTATTGGACGAGGTGGGCTGCAGTCGGGGAGGTGGGGGCATGCCTTAAAGGACAGCTTGCACAGAATCCAAGGTACATTTGTCCTTTAACACATACGTTGTGAATAATGAAAATCATTTCATCTGACTTTGGTGTCTGGACTGATTATAAAATGTTGTCACACTTGTTGTTTACAGCCCTAGTGGTGATCACCGCATCAGCCGGCTATGCAATGGCTCCCGTGCCCTTTGACCTCAGCTGCTTCCTGTTGGCCTCTGTTGGTACTGGCCTGGCTTCCTGTGCAGCCAACTCCATCAACCAGGTGAGCGGGTCTTGGGTGTCTGATGATCATTGTTGGGATGTATATGAATTATGCTGCTTGTGAACGTCCTCTCTGGACCAGCAAAGGGTAGGGATTCTTATTTTCAGGGACCAGTTCACTCGCAGTGGAATCTGGTTGCTATGGGTTACCGCATGCCGCGCGGTTTGTTTCTGCTCATCTCATCTAATTTGGATTTGAAGCTTAAACTCCGGCCAGTTATTTGGTTTTCTGTGTTGGAGAGATTAGAGGAAAATTAAACTTTCTGTCCGATTTTCTGTCACTTCCTGTCTTTGCGACACCCGTACATAGGAGGGTGGTTGTTATCAGGAAACAAAGTCACATAGAGCAATACAAAACATTGTCAGAAGTTCAAACCCTTCCCTACCCAGGTTTTATCGGTGTCCTCATTTATAGAGATTTCCCATCACTTCCTGTTCTGTCAGGGAAGTCACCCCAACAGGAATAAAGAAAGGAATTAAATCCTCGTAGAGGCTCTAACCCTTCCCCCCCACTGTCCAAAATACAATGTTCTGGCTGAAGTTGGGCTTTAAGGCCCCATTCACACTGAGCGATTTATCGAGCGATTTTCATGTCGCTCAGTGTGAATGGGGCCTTAAGCTGAACTCCGGGATCAGCAAATATTGTCCTCTTACAGAGGCATGTGTGTTTCTCCTGAATCTTGGTGAGCTTTGTGTATTTCTTCCAGATCTGTGCAGTAATCCCGTGACACTTGGAGCTTCCCGTAATAAAGACCGGTCACTGCTGCTCTCCTTGTGCAGGGTGACTGGTCTTGTCTCCGCCCCCTACCGTTATATAGACCGGTCACTGCTGCTCTCTCTCCTTGTGCAGGGTGACTGGTCTTGTCTCCGCCCCCCTGCTGTAGTCTTTTGTAGTCGGTGGAGCCTGCTGGGTCACTTTCACAGCTCTGCTCTCTGCAGAGGCAATATGTAGCACAGTGATGATGCCACTGCCATTTTCACAAGGTAATATCAGGGTTGGAAAGGCATTTGGTGAACAGGAAGCACATTTATAAGACTCGTGGTGACTGAGAAATATATTTAGATGAACAATTTGTGCCCAGAGTTCAGCTTTAAGAGTGAACCTTCGTTATGTGTCACGTGAGGTTCTGGTGGAAATATAAGCACTGATATTGGTGCTGGTTATCATGTTTATTATATATGTTGCTTCATGGTTCGGGGCCCATTCACACCTTTTCAGCGCGGTGCATCAAGGCAATGCGCATTACCACAACGTACATTAACATATCAAGTTGCTGTGGAATTCATTTTGAATGGCACCCCAATACCCTAAGACAACTCGGCTCTAAAGCACATGCATTGCAACACACCACAACACTTGTTAATGTGCTGCAGTGCGTTGTGGTGTGCTGCATTGTCACAAATGACGCAAGTCTATTTTTTGGGCCGTTTTGTGTGTTGTCTGCTCAGTCATTTGAAAGGTCTGCCTTAACAAAATGCATGTTAATGTCATGAAAAAAGCGCATTCACGACGCACCAGGACACCAGGGTCTGAACGGGTCCTCGGGCATATGTATATGGATCAGTTATATCTGTCCTGAGAGCTCACACTCACGCCACCCTTTCATTTTACATGCATGGAGCTCGGGGGGGGGTGAAGCAGGGAGGGATAGCATGGTTCCACTGTGGGCCGTCGCACCCATTTACTGATTCTAATATTCAGATTCAAATATTCAAATTAAGGTGCACTAATAAAACAGGTCCTTGCCTCTCCCCGTAGGCTTGGATTTGGTAGCTGGTGCTATAGAGAGACTTCTCTGCAATGAATGAGTGTCATTATGTGTGATACTGTTATACAGAGAAGGACACACCTCCCCGTGGCTGCCGTTTTCCTTTCCCACACACTCCCTTTAGGGCTGCTGGTACCTTTCCCACACATCAACACATCACCCCAGGCCTGATGCTCCCTTCCCCGTGCACCACCTCAGGGATGCCGTTTCCTTACCCGTTCACCACCTCAGGGATGCCGTTTCCTTCCCCGCTTACCACCTCAGGGATGCCACTTCCTTCCCCGTGCACCACCTCAGGGATGCCGTTTCTTTCCCCGTTCACCACCTCGGGGATGCCGCTTCCTTCCCCGTGCACCACCTCGGGGATGCCGCTTCCTTCCCCGTGCACCACCTCGGGGATGCCGCTTCCTTCCCCGTGCACCACCTCGGGGATGCCGTTTCCTTCCCCGTGCACCACCTCGGGGATGCCGCTTCCTTCCCCGTGCACCACCTCGGGGATGCCGCTTCCTTCCCCGTGCACCACCTCGGGGATGCCGCTTCCTTCCCCGTGCACCACCTCGGGGATGCCGCTTCCTTCCCCGTGCACCACCTCGGGGATGCCGCTTCCTTCCCCGTGCACCACCTCGGGGATGCCGCTTCCTTCCCCGTGCACCACCTCAGGGATGCCGTTTCCTTCTCCGTGCACCACCTCAGGGATGCCGCTTCCTTCCCCGTGCACCACCTCAGGGATGCCGCTTCCTTCCCCGTGTACCACCTCGGGGATGCCGCTTCCTTCCCCGTGCACCACCTCGGGGATGCCGCTTCCTTCCCCTTGCACCACCTCGGGGATGCCGCTTCCTTCCCTGTGCACCACCCCTCAGCAGCTTCTCTTCTCCATACTCTGCAAAAAAAAAAAATATTCAAATTTAAGGAACCACTCAGTCCAATGTGGTTCATAGGGCAGATTTCAATGCTGGGGGTCATGAGCTCCTGCGGTCAAAAATAGAAAACAAAAGTCAGTTATCTGATTTACAGAGCTCTGCCTTATGGCCCCGGGTTTAATCAGTCAGCAAACAGAAGGCAAACACTGCAACTGTGCTAAAATCAGATAGAATGAGCAGGTTTCTCACAGTGCTCCGGGGTGTGACTTCAGTAGTGTAAGCAGCAAAACTTGATTGTCGGTATGGAAATGAGAGCCTGTAATTGGCTGGATGGGGATTCATTGAACATGCTGTGCTTGTGTACCTTTGTATGAGCCTCTATAGTCTCATATGAAGGTTCCTCATTCCAGCCGGTTATAGAGACTCTGCCGCTGGGGGAGGGGAAATGGTGCCGGTAAGAGGTGCAGGCTCATAAAGGTCACATACCACCCAAACTAAATACTGAGCCGTTCTCTGCAAAGCTCTGACACATCCACATCGTGTCACTGCTAAGCCACACCCCACACATTTCTATTGGCCCATCACTTTTGTGGGCAGCCTTACTGGCCAATAGGGCTACTCAGGAGGCAGGAAGGGGTGGGCTTTGCCTGTCAGCATACGTCTTATCACAAATCGCATTAATACCTTTTTTAGCCTTTTTTTTCCTCTATGTGGCCTCGTGACCTCCAAGCTCCGCCTCCTTTCAGTCATGCGGAGGGCCAACAACGGGGATGCATGCTGCAATGCATTGACGTCACCCATCGACCTCCACTGCTATAGCCGTTGTCGGCAGTGGGTGGGGAGAGAGTTCCCTACTAGAAGGAGTGAGAGATTGGAGCTTTGCAGTCACATGACCACTAACAAAAAGGTATTTAAACTGTGATTTGTGACCAAATGTATTCAGAATCACGGGGAGTAAAGGGGAGGGGACATTTAAATGTCGCTTTGTAGCTGAGCCTTTCCTTCTACCTATACAATACAATACATAAAGGAAGAACATCTTTTAAATTTAATCAAATCCAATTTTGTCAAAACGATTTCCAGTCACAAACCCCCCCCCCCGCGTTTTTAGTACATAGAATATTTTCTACTTTTATTGTCTTTTAGTTCCCCTCATTGCAGAGAAGCCCAAATCTTAATTCCATCCTCCTGGCATGTGGCAGTGTATGGGTGTCTCGGAAGCTGATGGTCTGCAGATTACCGGAGTGGATTTGTGTCGGCTCACGTCCATATTGTATGTCTCCGGAGAGCGGCACTTCATCCTCATACCGTGACAACAATCTCTTGTACACACAAGTGCACACGGTTGTTCTACATCCCTTTTTTATCAAGCCTTCCGAGAGCTTAAAACGTCTCGGCCTTTCACCCGGCACTTCCTTTGTCCCGATCCCAGCCTCCCGTGGGGCAATAACTTTTTTTCCTTCATGTTTGCAAGATTGTAGCTGATCCATTAAGCTCTTCAAGAGCCGGCATTTTCCCGTCTGTAAAAAAAAAATGTAATCGAGTTAGGTTTCATTTCCTTGTTCCTTTTTCTTTTTTGTGTCCTTTTTAATGCTCTTCTGTAATACATACATTTCATTAGCCTGCGACTGCGGGGCTCCTCAGATAAGGAGTAGCGGAGCGCGTCAGCGTACCAAGCAGCCGCATTTACAGACTGAAACGCGCTGGGCTGAGATAAGCAAATGAGTTTACAGCTATTCAGCTTTATCTATGAATGGATCTTAATGCCACGATTCTTCGGGAAGGATCTCTGGGGAGGATGCGTGCCATTTTTAACCTATCTGTAGCCTAAGCGCTGAGTGTCAGTGGGGCGCAGGCACACGGGTTTTCATCTAAGCTGAGTACAGACCACATCTATGATGAGTGTCAGATCTTGGACTACATGTTGGCACCTGCCCGGCTTTGGAGAAAGGGCAGAAAGTGTTAACTGTCTGTATTTAGTATAATGTTCTGACTTGTCATTTTAGAAAGACACCTTCAGAGCAAAGTGACAGTGAAAGGCCACGTCCGACCCATTCCTCCCACCTCACCTTCCACCATCCAGCACCAAAATGCCTAGAGGGCGTGGTGATGTCACCCACAATGTCATGTGACAGTGAAAAGTCACATCTGCCCCACTCCTCCCGCCTAACCTGCCACCATCGCTACCAGCACCAAAATGCCTAGAGGGCGTGGTGACGTCACCCACAATGTCATGTGACAGTGATTGGCCTTGCAATGAATTTGGCTTGGTTTCCATGTCACGTAGCCTGTACAGCAGCACTCAGACTGGAAGAGGCAGGGTCAGTACTCTGACCCTGTTAGGCTCTTGTGCAAGCACATATGCTAACAAG